AACTATTGCTTCAGTAAACATACCCGCCATGCAGTGGGGAAGGGGCATTAAGCAAAATGGGAAAGGAGAGGTGTGGGAGGGGGCTGGCACATTTGGCCAGTGATTATGGGATTCAGTATTTCACAGAAATAAATGCATTAGAACTTGAATTCTCCAGCACAGGCACTGTTTTGAGCACGCTAGGGGGATGGGAGGAGGGGAATGGGATACAATAAAAGCAGAGTAGGCAGAGAGGGACTCCTAACTTTCATCTGTGTAACATTCCCCAGAGCTGAAGAGCTCTGTGTAGCTCAAAAGTTTCTCTCTCTCACCAACAGAAGTTGGGTCACTAAAAGATATTACCTCACTGTCACACACCTTATCTGCATAACATGGCAGTGACCAGAAAAAAGCTGTTGTTTAAATCCCCCTATACCATTGGTTCTCAAACTTTTTTACTGGTGACCCCTTTCACATAGCCCGCCTCTGAGTGCAACCCCCCTTATAAATTAAAAACACTTTTAAATATATTTAACACCATTATAAATGCTGAAGGCAAAGCGGGGTTGGGGTGGAGGTTGACAGCTTGCGACCCCCCCATGTAATAACCTCATGACCCCCTGAGGGGTCCCAACCCCCAGTTTGAGAACCCCTGCCCTGTATGGTTGTATTGTAGAATAGCACAGATTACTTACTGGAAGAGGCTCTCTTCCAAGCACTGTCAGGCTGGGTCTTGGCTTGGGATATGGGGGCCATCTCTGGCCCTGGCTTGGGGTTTTGTGAGCTGAAGAGATCCTGGCTGTCCAGGGCAATTTATTTTTGCTTGGGGTCCCGTTCAGGGTCTGTGGTTGGCTGGTGGGTCTTTGGTGCTGTCCAACGTATGCCAGAGTTTGGTGGTGGTGGGGGGTCTCCTTGACAAAAATGCAATCCAGTGCCTCATAGAAGGCACAGGTAGTGCGACTGTTTGCTGGAGGCCTTGTTGATGTGTCTGGCATGTTTATAATCCTACCAGAGCTCTTTTGCTTTGTTGTGGCAATGGGGTGTGTCCAAGGAGTGCCATCTCTCCATTTGCTTTGCTAGCTGCTCAGATGTCTTGGCATTCCGATGACTGTTGGAAGATGGGACTGGACATGTTCCCCTCCCCAGAGGCCAGCAAAGTACAGTACCTCCCTGTAGGTCCCTGTGGAAGCACAGGGCCTGGCTACTATAATATCTGACTGAAAGTGTGTGAACGGATTATGAGCTGGAATCACAAAGAGCCACACCAGGCTGTGTGCCAGTATTTAAACAGGGAGGTGAGAGCTGGTCACCATAACCCTGGAACAGTCTATGGCACAAAGGTAAACAGACAGGCCAACCCAGGTGTGCAGTGTGGGATGGCAGTGGGAGGATTGCTAGAAGCAGAACAGTTAATTTGAAATGAGGCTGCATCCACATAGAACCTTATTCTGGGGTAAATCATTCCAATATATATTTAATCTGTTTCTAAAGTAGATTAATGTAAAAAGATACCAGATACTTTGAAAAAAACACTTGTGTGTGTAGACATAGAGCAGCTTATCCTGAAAATACTTTCCTGCATATATGAGCCCTAATTATTTTGGAATAAAAACACTTTTATTCTGGAATAGAAGGTCCTCATGGGAAGCTGTTGGGGACTAGTTATTCTGGAATAACTGCCGGTCAATTTCTCCATATAGGCAAACCCTTAGCTTGTATTTGAAATTGAGAGCAATGTGTGGGAAATCTTGTTTCCAGATCCTGCTTATATAAGCTCCTAAAAGGTCAGAACTTGATGTAATAAACTTATCTTTCCAGAAATCTAGTTGTAACTTGAGTATTAATGGGGATTTGATGCCTCAGGGCATTGCTAATGAGTTATAGCAGGGCTTCCCAAACTTCCTCCCCCCCAAAAGACCACTTGGCATTTAAGTGTTTGGACACTTTTCATTTCCAGTGCTACTGGAATGCCACCACCAGCATGAGAACAGCCTAGTCAGCATGACCTCTCATGCACAGTGCGAGAGGTCACACTGTATGGAAGATGCCATTTTGAGAACTGGCTTCAGTTCTGCCCAGCTTCAGGAGGGATTAAGAAGTTATTTCCATCTAATGGATGTTAGCTAGCTTCTGTATGAGTTTGGTTAGTCCCAATTCCAGATCCCAAGTCAAACTGACAGCTATGCTTTGCACTAGACTGTAAACCCTTCAGAGCAGGGACCATCTCTTACTATGCATTTGTACAGTGCCTACCACAATGGGGCCCAGATCCGGGTTGGGCTCCCTGGTGTGAAAGCTTCTTTAGCTGGGGCCAAAATCACCTTACTCACTATAAACTTGGAACGTTGGCAACAATTCTCACGTGCATGTTGGTGGTTGGCAGGGGAAATTCAAAAATCAAAGAACATTTTAAAAGAAAATATTATTTTGGGGCCAATCCTCTGATTTTTGAACTTTTGGAGTTGACAATCCAGTTAGCTCTCCAGCCAGAGAAAGAGATTCCTTCCCAAAAACCCCTAGAGAGCCAGGCTCCATCTGCCCACCCACACCTGAAACCTATCTAGGAAGGCCCTGGCCCCATTCAGTGGCATGGCTACCCTACCATTGTCATGAGAGCTCCATATAGTAAATGCTCCCACACCCCAGTCCTCATTCCTGAAGGAATACTTGGCAGAAATTCTACAAGGTGAACCACTGAAGTAGCTTTGGCTCAGTCAATATCTATCAGGTTTTATCACAGGAGGGCAGAATTTGGCCCTAAATCTATTTTGTAAAAATATAATTTGTAAACAAGTAATTAATAAACATTTCCTTTTTGCCCCAGGAAAAATAAATAGAAAGCTGGCATTTCTCCTACAATAATTTTATCATTTGTATTTCCAGGGCCTTATACTGCAGTTTCACTTGCACACATATCAGTGAACTTTTCAATCATGGCATAGAGACTAATCAGTGATTTGTGTTCTCCTGTCTGTGTATGCAAGACTCATAGCTGAAAGTTGTTTGGCATTCTGGAGTTAAGTAGGCCATAGTTTATTCGAACATATGCAGCCTTATGTAAATGAAGCCCCCTCAATGGGTTGAGGGAGAGGACAACAAGCCCAGCCTCCCTCCTGTATAGCTTGGTGAATATCACAAAAGCACTCACTAAAAAACTGTCCATGACACGTACTGTCCATTACACATACTGTCCAAATATACCCATTCCCAACCATTTTAATTTAAATGACTTCTCTCCACATTCATTAATCTAATATGTCATATAGTCTACTCCTGTGCCAGCCTTCTGCATTCTTCACACCATAGGCAGGAAATCAAACAGCATTTTTTTATCAGAGGGGTAGCCGTGTTAGTCTGTATCCACAAAAACAATGAGGAGTCCGGTGGCACCTTAAAGACTAACAGATTTATTTGGGCATAAGCTTTCGTGGGTAAAAAAAGTGGGTTTTTTACTCCTCGTAGCATTTTTTTTGTATAGTGGACTGGCTGTGAGGCATCATCTTGTTCTACCACCTGCTAGCAGAAACAGGGGAATCTTTATTCTCCACTTGTAACTGCCTCGTGATGTTCTAGCTGCTTTATTAGTCACAGCTGTCTTTACCTAAATACTGTCCACTTTGGCCTAGTATTAGCAACATCTTGCGACTGGTGTTAAAGTTGTCCCTTTCAACTTGAAAGGAGCTTTTTTACAAGTCTATAGGCAAATATCCCTCTTAGGAAGGTTATCTTTGAAGATGCTTTTTCATTACAGGATTTTCTGTTAGACTCTTCCTCATAGGATAGCTGTAATTAGGAGATTTATTTTCTTCTCATCTTCTGAAACTATGCAGGTCTTGATACCTCACTGAGTTTTACTTTACGTACTATAGTAAAGTGTCTCACTGCTGTAACTCACTCACTGTAGAAAAACATTCTGTTTCAAATTTAGGCACAATGGTTTCCAACAGAACCTCTCTCCCCTTCTTGAGCAGCACAGCCAATGCCCGATTGGTTTGTAGTGTTATGGAATGGCACCTAGCCACACAATAATTAAAGTTGCAATGGAGTTTCTGTTTACAGCTGCATTTTCAATTTGCTGTAAAATCTAGATGGCTTAGACAGGCTACCTTGAAAAAGTATGTGCAGTATCAGGAGCAGGGGTACAGTATGTGATGCAAATTTGGGGTCATTCAGTCAAGGTACTACCGAGATAGAGCAGGTCCCACAAATGACCCATTTTTAAATCACCAGATTCTTATAACATTTTTTGTGCACAGTTTAAGAGCAAACTGTGACAAGAATTCACACAACACTGAAATCCCTGAACTTCCCCTGGACCAGAAACAGCTTCCTGCAAGTCATTAGTTGAAAATTATTACATATATTGTTTAGCTCTACAGCAAAAAGCAATTTTGGCTCAAAGGCATACGGTGCTGAGAGCTGATTCAGAGCTAAAGTGCTCAGACCATAAGTTATTCACTCACAAAATACCTTGATGCCTAAGGGAAGGTGCATAGACCCAGCTTGTTTCATACTTATGAATCATAATAGACTATAACTTGTAGTAAATAAGCTGTAGAAGATGCTACAAGCAGTCAAACAGCAGATCTTTCTATATTTTCTCCAGAAGTTCCAATCAATTAAAAATAAACAAACAAATGACTGAGGCTGCTGTATAAACATTGCTTTATGTCTTATTAGATACAATGCCACTCACTTCCATTTCTGAATGAGAAAAAACAAGCCCAGAGCAAAGAAATAGCCTAGGTACAGTTTTATGCGTTTGCTTATGACAAACACGTTTCTTCTGCTACATACGGAAAAGCAAGCAGTGGCACATTTAAAAATAATCAGATTCACACATCTCATCAGCACAGGCCCTTTACCTGAAAGGGATTAAATTAGTCTAGGGCACAGGCTTGTATGAGTCCACTGGAGAATTGTAATTCTGTGCACACAGTCTAGTCCTTTCTTGCAAGTGAATTTCAAATTTACATGGACATGGTGGTAATTGTAAACATTTGTCTATAATATTTTTTTCCTACACTTCTGAACCCCACACTGACAGGAGATCTCGGTCTCTGGCATGCTTCCAGCTTCATAACCATAATCCCACGTGAGTTCGGTTCCAGCTTTCACATGCCTAGGAAACAAAACCACTGTCAGTTAATATATTAGTTAACTGAATCTACCTCTGTACTGTGTTTGCAATTTGCCACCAACTACTTGTAGGGAGTTCCTGAAATAGTGGGATGAAGGGAGGGTGGCACAGAGAGAGCTGTGAGGGGTGCAGGTGGGAAATGAAGGAATGCAACCAGGAGCCCCTGCTGTGTGCAGTGTGCTCTGCCTCAGAAGCAACAGTGTGTGCAACCCCCTTGTGAATGTTCAATTAGAAAAACCTAGGCTGTGCTAAGACTTATCAGGTCCTGGGATCTGGGTTGCAGAGGTCAAACACAACTTTCTCTGATGTCTACATAAATTCAGTTAAAAATCAGTATAAGTGTCTGAATGGCAGTAGACGTAGTCTAGTCTCACTAACTATAGCGTATCATCAATCAAACCCTGGAATACCATACACTGGATGTGGAGATCATCATGTCTACACGGCAAAGAAAAATCCACGGCTGGCCCATGCCAGCTGACTCTGGCTTGCAGGGCTGTTTCATTGCTGTGTAGATTTCCAGGCTCGGGTGCAAACCTGAGCCCTGGGACCCTCCCACCCCATGCCCGTTAATATACACGGGCAATGAAACAGCCGCACAGCCCGAGCTCCACCAGCCCGAGTCGGCTGGCACGGGTCTGCCGTGGATTTTTCTTTGCTGTGTAAACGTAGCCTTTGTGGCCTGCAGGAACTCCTGGAGGATAGGTTTTAATGGAACCACATTAGCTCTTTGGAATGATTCTGTCTAAGGACTGCAAGACCTAGGGTAATGGCAAGTTCCTCATGCTGTCTCTCTGAGCCAACCACTAGGAGAATATATTAAAAGGAACAATTATTTTTTGTGCAGTGAATAGAATGCTTATAAATGGTTGCCAGTTGACAGTTCTGAAGACAAGTCCCATATTTCCACAGAACAGGTACAGCACTGGAAGAGAAAAACTCTCTTGTGGTGATAATGTAGTTTAGCTCCCTTACCCATTCAGGCCTTGGTCTCTGATGAGATCACCAATAAGAATGTGGTTTTTGTCATCGGGCCATTTGTCTACTGGAAAATAATGCAATACTTTTCTAACCATTTTGCTTTGAATGAACATAAAAAAAAAGATAGTTCCAACCTGTTTGTGAAGAATGCCACCCAAGGGAAATTTCTGTTGTGCGTCTCTACAAAGACACTCTGTACAAAGAGATTTGGGCAGCAGCTATGCTGTGAAACAAAATAATTGATTTAAAATTAATCAGTAGGATGCTCAGTCTCTGGCTGTAGAATGTTTATATGTTTTTTCCCCCCAAACATTTGTAACATGCTTAAAAAAAAGAGAAGAGACATCCCCACTGCCACTCTTTCATCACCCATGTTTAACATGCAGCAGTTTTTGCTATAATTAGGTCACTTCGAGGGAAGGAATATCTCCAGCATTTCTAAAATAACAATTTTGTCTCAAAAAATCACGTTCTTTTGTCAATCTGCACTTAAATAGTTCATGGTGAGATTTTTCTCTCTTCATTTGACACAGGAACAAAAGTCATCACCATCAATAATAAATTAAAGATGCTGCGCTGTCAGATGAGAGAGCAATCTTTGGGAGCACATGCATGAATAAAACAATTCTAAGCGTGTGGAAATTGCCAGGCAGAGGTGAGGTGTGCATACAGTTAGGGAGGGTTGGCAGGATTCTATTTACAGTTAGATACCAGTAAATATTGATTTCACCTAACACACAGAAATGGACGAAAAAAATCCGTCAATGGCTGCCTCTCTCAAGCCGAGTGCCTGCAGGGATCCAGTGTCACTGGCCCCGTGGCCATGCAGGGAGCCGTTTGCAGCTCTGCTGTCACGGCCCGGAGTACAGGAGCTGTTCAGCACCAGGGAGGCCTCCTTGCAGCCCAGGCCAAGGGTTTTTGCTCTGCCCCAGCAGGACCGCAGCCTGCACCTGTAGGGATCAGGTGTCACTAGCTTTCAGCTGTGCTGGGAGCCCTCTGCAGCTTCGCTGCCATGGTCCCATTCACTCACTCATCCTGCTCCTCGCAGCCCTGGCCTGGGGCTGGGCCAGAACCACAGCATCCCTTGCGCCTGGGCGTCTCAGGCCCCTCACCTGCACAGGAGCCCCCTACAGCCCTGCTATCAGCACTGCACTAACCCCAACCCCCCTTCATTTCTCACAACTGAAAATTAAAATGGTTAAAAATTGAAAAAATGCTTAAATAAAAATTGATAATCAATCGTCAAAATTACAAAAAAATAAAGTTCAAATTCTGCCAAGCCCAGTTAGACACACATACAGGTGTGTGCACATGGACGGTCATGTGACAGGTTATCATTGTCTCTGTTCTATATTAAGGAGCATAATTTCAATGTTTGTGCAGATTTTGGCTTGACATACCTATAAGTGCCCATGGGAAAAACAAGGCCAGTGCTATGCGTGTGCAGATGAAAGTTTGTAGTACTTACATTGCTGGGAGCATTTTGAAAATTCAATCAATTGAATGAAATCAATTGGCAGCGTTATTGGGTATATACCTGGACAATGTGGATATCTACACAGCACTGCCTAGAACAGCCAGGTCCCCTCTCAGCATGCACTAGGTTGAGTGTGAAACCTGGGAAGGATTCTTTAGTAGACAGTTTTTACATCTGTACAGATCAGGAGTAAGGATGGAAATTTCACACAGCATTATGTAACATATCCCTGAATTGACACAAACGACAGTTTACAACAGCCTCGGAACATGGATGGGGCTGAAAGGAGACCCTCAATCTAGTCAAGCATCCAGCCCACGCTCTGATCCAGTGTAGCACCCAGTGGCAAGGCCATTCAACATGCAGCAAGGAAACCGAGAATCCTCATCATCTAGGGCTATTTGATTTCCTGCCCCAAAATAAAAACATACACTGCCCATCCTGGGAAAAAAGAGAAGAGTAGAATTTTGCAAAACTCATTAATACCTATCATTTGTGCAAATAAGCAATTAAAAAAAAAATTAAGTGACTTAACAGCACACACATTTACCATTTTTACTTACATTAAGAAATCGGCCCACATTTCCTTCTTTCGTGGCATCCAATAAATAAATATTGTCTTTATTAGAATTCTTCAGAGGTGTCTCATCACCTTCTGCCTCCTCATTACAAAGAGGATCTTGTTTGGACCTCCTATTTTTTTCCTCTTTGAAGTCATCTCTTTGGAGTAGGCCCATGGACTGTTTCATAACATGTGCATCATCTAGCCTGGCTGATTTACCACCTCTAGCATCTTCTGGGGATGGCCTTTTTTCTTTAGATTTTGCAGTATCTGTGGTGCTTGGCTCAGACTGCATGGCCTCCTCATGTTCTCCTAGCTTTTGCTGCAGGTTGGGTTCTGTCAACAGAAATTTCAAGAGATCAGAAGAACACGTTATTTGTTTGCATCAACTGAAAATGACTCAGCAATGATACTAAGGGTAACATTGCAAACTTAAATGCGTTTGGCTTACTTGACCCTAAATACCCACCCGCTCAATTTCTTGCTTCCCATGTCATTTCCCATAAATGCCTATGCTTCCCCCTCAATGCCTGGAACAGCCCCCCAAACCTTGTGCATGATCCAGTCTCTCCCCGCACTCCTGTTTCAAATCCTCTCTCAGAACTCACTTCTTCCAGCTGGTATTTTACTGCCAACCTCCACCTGCATGCTGCACAGCATCCCATATTTTAATAAGATGCTAACAAGATGCATATTCAACAGCAAATGTTTCCCAGGATCTTTTACGGCTGTGCCCTTCTTTCTCCCATATCTCCCTGCCCCTCTTTGCTTATTGCTACCCATTGCTGTGTCATGCCGAATAAATAACCCAATTCTGCCCTTCGCCCCCCAAACTTCCACTGGAGGCAGCAAAAGTACAGGATGCTTACCACCTTTCCAGGAGTGCTCAGATCTTACAGGATCAGGCCATTGCACTGTAGACTACTCAGGGCAGGGAACTTGTATTTATCTTTAAATTCTGAGTCTTTAAGCACTATCCACATCTATGTGTAATAAGTAATAACCTGAGTGGCTGCTAAGGCTTATTGGTAGGGCACACTAAGTGCTATACAGATAATGCCATTATAGTCAGAGATATGGCATTTGAAGAGGTTTGCACACATTCAAAGATTGTTTTCTACAGTGCAACTGTTTCACCTGACTGGGCACAAGTGTGCTAACCAGTGTAATATTTATAACTCTGCAAACCTACTTTCCTTTCCTTTCTTGGTTCCAGTGGTTAGTTTCGTTTTGGTTGACTGCTGGGGCTGAGAACTATCATCTTCATCTGAGCTGGCATCGTGCACCAGTGTAGCAAGTCCCTTAAAAGAAATAAGGTTGTGAGGTACTGTGTTCTATGCATCAAGAGCCAAAGACAACTGGGCTTTAAGGCCCCGGAGTTCAAGTTTCAACTGTAATCTGTTGTTTTGACTGAGTGAGTTTTAGCAGGCTAAATTCCAAGCCTAGACTTCATAATTCAGAATTATTCAGACAAGCCTCCCAGAACATAGGCCCCAATTCAGCAAAACACTTCAGCATGGGTTTCACTTTAACGCCCACTGATTTCAATAGGATTTAAACACATGCTTAAATACATGCTTAAGGATGTTTTGCTGAATCAGGGCCTAAGCTAGCTCTGTATGCGGAGCTAACTGAAATGGACTGGGTCAGCAAGATTCCTCCCCTTTCACTACAAACCAGTGACTAATCATGGGACTTCCAATACTGTCTGTTCCTGGTATGAAGCTCTCATACATGTTGTTTGAATCAGCTGTGAAGCTATCACTCACTGATACTAGCACGGCCAACTCAAGTGCGACCAGCACCTCCTCTTGTGCACATGTCCTGAGCGGATACTTCCTGCCTCTCCATATTAGATCATGTGGCAGATCAAATTCTCCAGTCTGTGCCGTAGCAGCAGAACATAAGACCCTGACCACTAGTGAAGCAAGGGATGCTGCAGCTTTGAGTTTGGCTCCCAACAGTGTTTATCTTTTCCTCTCCTATTTCATTAGTTAGGAGGCACATGGAAGATGTTGCAGTTGCAGGGAGGAGAGATAGTTGCTTACAGTTCGAGGGAGGGTTGTTTCCTGGAGACAGTCCTGGGGGCTGCGTACATGTACAGGGAAGAAAAGTGAGGAGGCTGTGGGAGTATTTAGTGCTAGTCTCAGAGACAGCTCAAGGAGCACATACTGTGCACATGTTGGCAGGGAGATGGGGAAAGGGATGAGGCCAGTGCCAGCAGCAGGCAGGGCAGTATTGCAGAAGTCCCATGATAGATGCAAGTAAGAAAGGCTGTTTAAAAAAAAATCTTGCCGTGTGTACTGATATAAGGTCATAAATAACTGCCTTCCCACTTCACTGAATATGTATAATTCTGAATACAATCTGTTATTCTGCATTTTTACCAGTTTTAGCCGGCGAGTCTGAAGAATAGCAGTTCTGGTTTTAGGCCTAATGGCTGGGATTCTCAGATTCCTTGGATTATATCCATAGTTCTGAACCCTGCACAGAGATGGGAAAAGGATTTTATGCAAAACTAAAGGCCGATAAAAGAACTCTTGCAACACCTATTTGGCTAATATTTTCCAGTTTGTAAAGAACAGACTGCAAAGCCTGCAGTCGATACTCAGTAGAAATCTTGTGGCAGTTTTGCCCCAGCAGAGACTGCAGGTTTTGGCCTCACTGATATTCTTAAAAGGCAGCCCATCATACACTGCTCATGCTTTATTGTTAAAGGAGACCGAGAGTTGCTTGTATATCCCACAGACATTTTAAAAACAAACTGAAGCAGTTCTTCCTTAATGTTCCTGTCAAGAGCCAAATTCTGTCTATTCATCCATCTAGGTTCTTGTACCATGCTCATCACTGAACTAAGAGTATCTACATTCAGGGTTCTGGGTTTTCCCTGTTACAGCTGTTAATACCTCAAACTAGAAGGCACAATTTGCAAGGAGAGAGACTGTAAACATACCACTGAAACAAACAAAATCCTACAAAGCCTAAAAGAACCGTAACTCCTTGTGATGGGGTGTTCACCCCACACTTGCCCTGAAAGGGTTAATGCAGACTAAGAAGTGGGCTAATTAACCCAACGGGCCATGGCTGAGAGGAGTCAGGTGGCCAAGTAATCCCCTAACTGAGTGAGGGAGCCCACCTGAGGAGGAAGGAGCTGGGTTGGGGCTATAAAGGCAGGCTGGAAATTGGCAGCAGAAAGGGGACTGCTGGGAAAGTCTGCAGTCACTCCCTGGGAGAAGGGGAGGTGCATTTGGGCTCGCCAACCCACAGAGGAAGGAGGCCAGGAAGTTAGGACAGGGCTCAGGGAAAGGCAGTAAGGTCTAGAAGAGAACAGACCTTGGCTGCTGGCTAGAGGGTCCCTGAACTGGAACCCAGAGTAGAAGGTGGGCCCAGGTTCCCCTGCTAGCCACTGAGGGAGAAGCACTACGAGGCAGTGAATGGGACGACTGCCTAGGACTGCTGGCAAGGAAAGACTTTCCAACCCAGAAGGGGAAACCATTCGTTGACCTGGCCGGAGGGTCAAGTCACGAAGAGGTGGAGCGAGAGAGGGGCCGCAGACTGGCAGACAGAGACAGAGGGATGGCTAGCAACTGTGGGAAGGGGCGCTGACCTGATCAGCTATTCCCCAGAGTAACCAGGAGGAGACGCCATCCTAGCAGTGAGTGGAGCAGCCCAGCACACTCCCTTAACAGGAGGGAAAGGTAGGGAGACAGGATATGACCCTTAGAAATTAAACTTTTTATTCAAAGTCAGCTTTGGTTTAATATTATGAGCCATTTACGTTGCAGTAGCATCTACAGGCATCAGCCAGGATGGAGTTGTATAGTGCTAGTCACCTGTAGGATCATACAGTAAGTGACAGTCCCTGCTCCAGAAATCTTATAATTTAAAAAATTAATATAACCCTATTCCTCATATAGAGGTCATGATTTTTCCTGTGCTACAGATGGAAGCAAACAAATTTTATCCTTTTAGATTTCTTTAAGATTGCGAGACCTATGTTAAGTTCAGAAGCTGAAGTGATACAACATATGCAGCGACACTGGTATGTGGATTACAGTCTATTTGTCCTGTACAACATAACATGATTGGCATAGGGGTCATGAATACAGGTTAACAGTCTCTTGTGATCCCTGGCCTGATTGTTTATTTTTTATTTTTGAAAAATTTAAAAAAAAAAAAAAAAAAAAACCAAGTGCTCCCTGCCGGTAGGAATTTAACACAGGAGTTTGAACCTTTCTTATTCTAAATACTGGAAATAATCAAGTAAAATCTAGTATAGTGGTGCAGTAAATGTAGCTTAAAAATGGTGTTTCCTGTACCTTTTAATATGTATAATATTAGTAAAATTTGGCTAATCACTGATAACAGTGATTCATTCCAAATTGGATTAGATTTCAGTGGTGTTGAAAATGCAAGTCTGAATATGGACAATTGGCTTGGTTTATGGAAACGATCGTGTGTCAGCTTTGCTATCAATTTAATAGTTATAGTTTGTGAATACAAATACTATGCATCTGAATCACTTGTGATTTGCTCCAGCCTACCTCACAGACCTTCTCTCTCTACTCCCCTCTCTGACTCTCCACACAGCCTTGACCATGTTACTGCAAAAGCTGTGGGGGTGGAGGGGTGAGGAGGGACATGGTGAGCGGGGTGGTGGAGGAAAGTGACAGGTGGGGGGGTTCTCGCAGCGGGCGGGCGAGGAGGTGAGTGGTAGGAGGGGTGAGGAGGTATGCAGTGGGTGGGTGACCTGGCGAGGGACTGGGTGGGAGGGTGAGGAGGGACAGGGTTTTGTGGGGGGGTGTCTCACGACAGGACACCACAAGCGGGGAGAGGGCAGGGCCGGGGTGGAGCAGGGATGGAGTGTGTTTGGGGCCGCGGGCAGAAGAGGCAGGGCAAGGAGCTAGCCTCCCTCAGGGGAAGCTTCACCCGCCACCCATGCTGCCAAAGTAACAAGTTTACTTTTCAGACAAGCCGTTGTTTGTTTTTGGAAATTCTCATTGGCTACTAAGGCTCCCAAGATGAGCTCCCCTCACTGAACACGCTATTGCATCTCCATGAAACTGATTGCAAGATTGGGGACTTATGCCATGGCTACACTACAAAATTAAGTCAACCTAACTTACATCGGCAGTGCGCATCCTCACCGGGAGCACTTGTATCGATTGTACTGTCAGTGTGGGGCATTGTGGGACAGCTCTTGAGAGCCAGTAACAGTTGATGTAAGCAAGGCAGTATCTACACTGTGTTATGTTGACCTAACTACATTGACCCGGACTCTACGCCACTCATGGATGTGGAGTTATTACTTTGGTGGGAGTGAAATTTAAGCACAGACACTTCCATAGTTAGGTCAACGTAAGCTGCCTTGCACTGAACTAACCCTGTAGTGTAGACCAGACCTTAGTCTCTTGCTACAACAATTCAAAATGGTGAGAAGTGAAGGATTGGGGGAAAAGGAGGAGGACAGAACAATTAGTGATTAATTTAAAATACTGCACGGTTGGAGAAAAATATGCAAGTCATTGCTCCCTTTTCAAATTAACATAATGAGCTATAACCATGAAAGCTCAAGTACAAACATGTATTCATTCAGAAGACTAATGCAATTCCTGGAAAATGCCAAGAAAGTTCCAGATGGGTTGGGAATAAAGTTAATTCATAGAAACAACTGTGTCCTGCCTGAAGAAATATCAGAAAAAATAAGTTTAAAAAAAATATGAAAAGGGCTGCTCAGTTGAACACACTCAAGCTCCACTGTGGGTATTGCTATGGGATAAGAACATAAGAACGGCCATACTGGGTCAGACCAAAGGCCCATCTAGCCCAGTATCCTGTCTTCTGACAGTGGCCAATGCCAGGTGCCCCAGAGGGAATGAACAAAACAAGTAATCATCAAGTGATGCATCCCCTGGTGTCCACTCCCAGCTTCTCGCAAACAGACTAGGGACACTATCCCTGCCCATCCTGGCTAATAGCCATTGATGGACCTATCCTCCATGAACTTATCTAGTTCCTTTTTGAATAGTCTATAATAGTAGCATACAGTCTATCTTTACCTTAAATCTGCTACTACAACTTACACAACTGGTTTATATTCATCCTCCGCAGGCTGAGATGAAGTTTCACTGCTCCTGCTAATGCTGTCTTTACCTGTCTGGACAAGTTCGATCTCAGAATCTGAACAAGCAGTGTCCAGTTTTCTCTTTACTGAAAGTGAGCTGGGACTTGTGTCATTCACAGCATCCTTCTTTTCAGCCTCACAATTCACATCTCTCGTTTCCTGAGGCTCGGCTCTGCTCATTAACCTGCCTAGAAGAAAAGCAGAAGGTTTTTAGTTTAGTCCATGTTCACTCTGACACCACCTTGCAGTTATATTTTTAGCAGGGGCAAGACCACTATTTATGAGTGTGAAATGCAAACACCATTCATTCAGCGAGGGAGCTGTCCTTGTGGAATCTAGCACAGAACAGACAAGCTTGTGGGGTAAGGGGTAGTACCTTTGAGACAGTAGTCTCAGAAATCTAGCCTTGGAATGGTCCGAGTGCTTGGCTAGCACCACTAAATTACAGTTGTTTTCTAAGCTTTTTTCTATTCTTTGGTGCACACTGAAAGGCAGATTTTATGGACATATCTGGCCTCTCAACCCAGCATATCCCACTCACTGCTTGGTTCTTAAAATGCTGCAGTTTGCAGACCTCTAGGAAGGGCTCCACAAAGTACAGTTTGAGAATGACAGTGCTAGAATCTTTCAGACATTGTTTTATGTTACCTGAATAAGTGCAAACAAAGGTTCCTTTGTCAATATCGTCTAGACAGCGGACGCCCCAGCCCTTCCGGTCTGTGTTGAACACCTGCAACCGAACTTGGATGCCATGCTGTGCTACTCTGTTCTGACACCTCATTCTGTCACACTTGCACGATAAGTTGCATTCGTAAATTCTGCCAGAAAAAAAGAAAAATGAAAAATGAAATAAAAAATATCACTTGTTCATATCTGGCAAAAGCAAATAAAAGAACAGCTCACTGAAAAGACAAAGACACCTGGTTAGAAAAGAATGGGCAAATCACTGCACTTCTAGAGTTTAGCCTTCCCCATCAGAAGGACAAGAGTCCATCAGATTTTCAGGGATGACAGAATTACCAGATAGCAACTGTGAAAAAACGGGACAGAGGGTGAGGGGTAATAGGCGCCTATATAAGAAAAAGTCCCAAAAAACGGGACTGTCCCTTTAAAAATGGGACATCTGATCACCCTAAGAGATGAGTGAGAAATATGTACCATAGTTATATTACCTAAGTGAGCTATGCAGCATAGATTCTGCAGCCTTGACAAGTGATTTAATGAAGCGCCCCCTTTTACCCTTGGAACATATTTAAAAGCGTAAAAGAGCAATCAAATCAACCTGGATGGACTTTGTCATGGCAGTCAGGGACTATTGGATTTTTCTGATTTTTAAAATATCCCCAGCTTGTAACATTTTGGGGTGGAGCTGATTGTCAAAACGTTGGAACAACTTCAGTGAGGGCTTTCATTCCGTAAGGCCAGCTGTGATCTGGCAACTCCCAGGTTCAATGCCATGTTACCACAGTACATGCACTATGGGTATGCCTACACTGCAATTAAAAACCTGCAGGTAGCCCATGCCATCTGACTCAGGCTCGCAGGACTCAGGCTAAGAGGCTAACTGCAGTGTACATGCTTGAGTTGGAGCCTAGGCTCCAGGCCCCTATGACGTGGGTGGGTCCCAGAGTCCAGGCTCCAGCCTGAACATCTACACTGCAATTGAACAATCCCTTAGCCCGAGTCAGCTGGCACAAGCCAGCCACAGGTGTCTAATTGCAGTTGTAGACATACCCTAAGTGGGGAGTATGCCTTGTGGACAGAGCACTGGACTGGAACCCAAGAGACCTGGGCTTTATTCCTAGCACTGACACTGGCCTGCTGTTGATGTTGGACAATTCACTTCACCCGTCTGTACCTGAGCTTCTCTGTCTGTAAGGAGATAGTGATCTCCTTTGTAAAGTGCTTTGAGATCTACCATGCTAGTCTTGCAAACTGAACTAAGTATAAAAAAATAGTTCCTGTAATACAAAACCCATGCTGTGGCTTTCAAAACAAAAGTACTTTTCCCATTTCACCATGATCATTCAATACAATCACTATAACGCACCCTCCCCATCCCTCCTCAAGATGCTGGCTAACCAAAAGCTGTTTAAGCGTGGCCTGAATACTATAACTGTATGTGGATAAAATACCAGTGTAAACTCTAGGTGTCTTACCCACTGGGGACAGGTCCATCCAGTCTTTTATACCTGTAACCACAAGATGCTCTGTTACTTGGTGAGGCAGAATTTTCACTGCAGCCTTTTGCAGTCAGCTGTAGGCATGCACATTTTGACCTAGAAGGGCAACAGTAAAATGTCATGTGAAAATAAGGATGTGATTAAAGGGACAAAGCGAACTTTAAATCTAGTCAATTTGAAACCTATGTTTTTCTAAGTACTTTCAGCCCCTCCCCCCCCTCAAATTTTTTTGGTCTACAATCACATTTTCCTACTTCTTTAAGAATTTTTCTTTTGCCTGTGTCCTGTAGAAGGCCCAAACAACAACGGGGGAGGGTGGGGACTAACTACACCGGGGGACACAGCGAAACTGACTACACAAAATACTATCTAATACACAAAATAAACAAACTGAACAAAATCTGTACTATCATGGCATCCGTGCCTGCCACTGCTTCGCCATCTCCCTCCCCCCACCAGAAAATGACTAGAGTTCACAACACAGATTGGGGAGCGACAGAAGATAACACTGACTCTGTCACTATTATCTTACACTCTTATAGCCGCAAAGGTTTGTTGTGAACAACGCCTGGCCTGGCTCTGGCCCCACTCCCTACATAACCAGAGAGACTCAACTCCTGTGGAAAAAGAGCCTGCAAGTGGATGAGAGGAGCATGCAATGGATCTCTCCTCCCCACTCTTCTGCACATACAGTAGAGCTAGAGCTTTTAATTTGGACCATCGAAGGCTTTTGTTACCCTGTGTATTATTAGACAAAGTGACTATATCACTAAATGCACACAGTAAATTTGACAGTCTCCCTTCATGTTATTCAGGACACCTGTACGACTTGGCTTTAGTTAGAGGTCAACTTTTTCTACTTACCTATCTGTGCAGCCATCTGTACAGTCACATGAGTCAAGAAACATGCTGGAGAAGTTGTTCAGATAGTACCCACGTGGCCACGAGGCCTTCCTATATTTAAAATAAGGTAATCTTGCACTGTCAACTTCATTACAGAAGGAAATGGGCACAGACTCAGCTCCATTGCTGATATCAAAATCAAATACAAGTGCTTCTCGGTTCAGAGTGTTTCTGCCCAGCTGTACGTATGTGTTGAAAGAAAAGTGATCAACAAATAAGAAGTTGCACTCTGTTTCAAACAGGTAACTCTGCACATCTTGAAAGTTTCTCAGACTCCTCCCACAGGGGGCCTTATAATTCACATCAAGTGACTTTGAAAGCGAGTCTGCTTTTGCATGTCGTCTCTGGAAATGACACAGGATTGGTATTTTAAGAGGGTTTTCCCCCTTGTATGAGTTCAGTGGTCTGTTGGCAAGACATACATTAGAGCAGTCATGATTCTGGTAACATAGCTTTAAAGGTAACTCCCTTGTTTCACTACATACGTCTTCATTCCCCAAGTGTGATTTTTCTTTTGCCTCCATTCTGTTAGAATCACAAAAAAATAAATAATAATTTGAACCGTGCCTTGTGTTACCAATCAAAGATTCAGTTTTTAATTGTTAAAACTTCTTCAGTAGGGGGAGAAAATAACTCTTGGTCCCAATCATGAAGTCCACAGTTTCAATGGATCATTATTTGTATTAAGCTAGTGCCATGAGCTTTCAATGGCAATCAAGGCCTCTTTGCTGGGCACTGTATGAGCCATCTGTTACAGCCTGCTTCTGTCCCAAAAAACTTACACTTTAAATAGACAAGATAGACAAAGGAAATATGATAAACCCCACTTTACAGAACAGCAGCTGAACCATACAGAGTTTAAGTGACTTGCCCAAGGTCCTGCACAGTCTGTGGCAGAGCTGGGAACTGAACTCAAATCTCCTGAGTCCCAGACCAGTACCTTAATTATCCACGGCTTTAACTGCACACCTTCATATACAGCGAAATTGTATGACTCTATCCCTTCTCTAGCTACAGGCAAACACACACCCTCCTGTTGTAACTTGGAGGACATTCAAGTCTTCCACACAGGTCAGATTGAGGCTTCGTTCATAACCACGATTCAAAATTGTGTTTAAACAGTTAATTTTATAGCGTTAATGCCAAAGTCTATTGTGCAAGACAAAGAATATTTAAAAGAACTGGCTATAGTAAACTGAAATGAAATGTAACCTGTATACTCACAAAGGAGAACCTGTTGTATTTTCATTTGATATAGAAGGCTGTAACCTAGGTTTGCTTTTCTGTATCCCATCTTCAGTAGTCACATCGTTTACTTTAAAAATTAAAATACAAAGACTTCAGCAATCCACATTACATTTTTACAATTAAACTTACAAGTCACCACATTATCAGATACCAAAATACATTAAAGACACTTCACTTTTGTGAATTACACTAGCCAAAAAGAAAGAAACAGAGAGCGTGTGCTAATGAAACAGTTTAATAAAAACAAAGTACAATGGAGAACTTAGGCTACATCTACACTACAGGGGGGAGTCGATTTAAGATACGCAAATTCAGCTACGTGAATAGCGTAGCTGAATTCGACGTATCACAGCCAACTTACCCCGTTGTGAGGACGGCGGCAAAATCGACTTCTGCGGCTTTTTGTCGGCGGCGCTTACTACCACCTCCCCTGGTGGAGTTAGAGCACCGATTCGGGGATCGATTGTCGCGTCCCGACGGGACGCGATAAATCGATCCCCGAGAGGTCGATTTCTACCCGCCGATTCAGGCGGGTAGTATAGACCAGACCTGAGATAAACCTTACTAAAGAGAGAATCTCCAGTGGAACAGATTTCAGTGTGCCACCTACAGGACTTTGATAAATTTGAAGAGAAATGGGCTACCATCTCCCCCTTTCCCTCAAGGATCAGAATATTGAACTGCATCTGCCCTAAATCTTCTAAGTTTGATCAAGCTGCAACCCTGGAAGTTCATATAGATACTATACATAAAAAATATACATACACAGAGCGACAGTAGAGATATTGATTTATTAAAAAAACTGACATAAAATATAACCCAGAGATTGCATAGTTTGAGCCACATTGTGAACTGACTCGCATATAATGCAATCCCAGTGTAGCGTGTAGAGTTTTATAGGGTGCAAATCAGGACACAGTTTGGCCCTTTATTTTTATGTTGGGAGACTGATTGCCTCATCTCAGTAAATGCTTTACTGAAATACTCTTCAGAGCATTTATTCACATACACAAGCTTCTCAATTTATTATCTCCTCTACACCACATGATGCAATACTATATTTTAAATAGAACTAACTAATGACAGATGAAAAGTATAATGAAATAAAACATCAAATTTAAAGGGATCTTACAAAAGTTTTACTCAAAGGCAAAAAATAAATAACTTCTCTTAATATGCAGTAATTTTAAACCCTGCACACCTGCATCAACCTCAATTAATACAATAATTTAAACCCTACGAACCTGCGTCACTGATATGGTCAGTACTGGGAATAGGATTGGTTAACTAATGCTTCCTCTTCTAAGGCAAATCACTACATTTTTCTTGAGGCCTTACAGAAATAGTAAAGTATGGGGCAGAGGGTGGGGCGAGGGAGAAGTCTGATATTTATAATTTCTGTTTGACAAATGGTGGGTTTCGACAGGTTGCAGGCAGGAAGAGAGAATATTCATCACTTCTACAGAGGTTTAGATTCACCAGTTCATGAACAGACATTCCCCGCAGATCATTAGACTAAAGAGAATTCACATTTTGGACCTAAACCAGGTGAACAACATTCTTTTAATTTAGGTGCGAATACAAGACTGAGGCTATGTCTACACTAGCACTTTTGTTGGTCAGAGGAGTGTTTTTTTCACACCCCGACCGACAAAAGTTTCACTGACAAAAGCGCCAGTGTGGACAAGCTATATTGGCATGAGACGCTCTCCCACTGACCTAGTTATCGCTGCTCGTTGGGGGTAGTTTAATTATGCCGACGGGAGAGCAGCTACACGGGAGACTTTACAGTGGCTGTGCTGCTGTAAGGTCTGTCGTGTACACATAGCCTGAGATTTGATGCCTCTTGCAGTTTAACATCCTGATCCTGCAACCCTCACTTAACATCAATGGGAAACTTGAGCAACTAGGACAGCGGTTCTCAAACCGTGGGTCGGGACCCCAAAGTGGGTCACGACCCTGCTTTAATGGCGTTGCCAGGGCTGGCGTTAGACTTGCTGGGGCCTGGGGCTGAAGCCAAAAGTCCGAGCCTCACCACCCAGAGCTGAAGCCGAAGCTTGAGGGCTTCAGCCCTGGTTGGTGGTGCTCAGGTTACAGCCCCCACCCACCCAGGGCTGAAGCCCTCAAGTTTCGGCTTCACCCTCCCGCCCCCGGGGGGGTCGGGGCTCAGGCTTCAGCTTTGACCCCCCGCCCAGGGCAGAGGGGCTCAATCTTCGGTTCCCCTTTCCAGGGTCGCGTAGTAAATTTTGTGTCAGAAGCGGGTCGTGGTGCAATGAAGTTTGAGAAACCCTGAAGTAGGATCAGGCCATGAATGAGCTGCTTGTCAGTGCATTAATGTCTGCAGCAAGCTTTTCCCCTTCCTCCTTCCTCTTCTGCTCTTTTAGGAATTACTAACGTGATAAGCCAAAAAAATGTAGTCATTTCCATTATGAATTCCCTGCCCCATTTCCAAAACCCTTTGTTTACTTCCGAAAGAAATAAGCTACTCACATCTATCCCCACATATTTTATGGCTTGACAAGGAAATACATCAAGAGCTCAACCTTTCTTCTCTCCCTAATTGCTATACTAGAAAACATGATGCTTCTCATTTAAGGTGTCACAGCTTCACTTGAAGGGAACTATACATACATACTACAATTGTGAAAACCAAGGAAAAGAAAAGAAAACACAGTAGGGCCTGATTAGACTAACACTTCAGTTGGTCTACGTGCAATAGTAGTTGATTTTTCAGGCTTATTTTATTCAACTTTATGCTGATTAAATCAAGATGATAAAATATTGGAGAGTGTAGAATAAATGGAGTTGAGATGCACACATACCATTTGTCAATGCTAAGAGATTGGTTCCATCAGCTCTATCCACCAGTATCAAAGCTTGGAAGCATTCTGTTTACAAAACAAAAACAGATATATTGTTTCTAAATAACAATGTGTAATTAAAACGAATGATTGACAAATAACAGGAAATTCAGAGCATAAGCCTCCCACAGTAACTTCTATCCCTGCTACACTAGAATCTAAGCACTGCAACACATCCCCTGATAGAGGCCTACATTTGCTACAATAATGTTACAGCTGGTCCTGATAGTTGTAACTCAGAACTGAGAATTCCCTGGACTTTGGGGAATTTGTGGAGGTTTTTTGATGGGTATTTCAGAAATCTCCATCCCCATAATACATTTTAGTATAGTTTAATGTCTTTACACCCTCTCTCCTAACCATCTTCTTGCTGAGAAGGGCTGGATGCTGTTTCTGCCAAAGCCAATTAACACCATTTTCAAATTAGCTAGAATGTTTATTAAAGAGCAAGGACAATGCAAGGAAGCAAGAGAGAAAGTCAGTCTCAAACTCCAGTTTGCCATATAGTAACTTATTGTACTACCACTACACCAGTAGTTAAATGGCAGTAAAAGCTTGCATTGATATTTCATGATGATACCATAACAGGGACTTTATAGATCAGCAGCGTGAGAATTAGTCTTATCTCACATTTTTATTGCATCAGCACAGGAGTTTAAGTTTACTTGTACAACACTGTGCTGCTGTAATGTTGCATAATACCGATACTGAGGGCTTGTATACATGAAAGTTGCACCACTTTAGCAATACTAGTATCATTTAAGCAGAACAATCCTCCTAGCATGGAACACAGTTATACCAGTATAAAGGCGCTTTCTGTTAGTACAGCTATTATCATAGAAGGGGAATAAGCTATACTAGTAGTATAACTGCCATCTACACTAGGAGTTGTACTGGTATAACTATTTTGGTAAAAAACGTACACTCCTAACCAAAATGTTAAACCCATACAAACACTGTGCGTAGACCAGGCCTAAGGAATCTCTGAAGATTTGCATCGAAATTAGTTTCACCTTTTAATGCCATCAAAGCGATCTTGTAATGGACTCCCCAAGTTCTTCCATTATAAAGTTTTTCCTAGTGAAATCTAAAGTTAAAATGGAGTCTCCAAAGTTAACAAAGACTCTCAGGAGATCATAATTACAATTTGAACCCATTCAATTAACTGGGGAATTCAGCTTCTAGTGCAAAACATGCTGAAGAGAAATGAATACACGAGGCTCCAGAGTTATTTCTCATGCATGAACATCTCAGCTCCGGATGCATAAAAAGCCATGCTGAGGATTAGTTGTTGGCAAATTACATTAATAAAAGCAGAAAAACAGGTTTTCAAGCGAGCTTGTCAAAACGCATATTAATCAAACTAAGCACTCTTTGGAGGCAGCAAGGAATTTTTTGCTGATCATGCCTCCCTTCTCATTTACTCGTTCAGGCCTGGATTTAGGTCTGGAGCTCTCCACCTAATGGGGATGCTTTTGCACGCAGACTCAAGTACTGGACTGTGTACATGCTCATGCATGCTCCCCACACCATGCCGAAATGTCCACATTATGCTGTGCTGGACATGGTGAAACGCAGTGTAAACGTATACACCCATGTCCACACGGCTGCTGCTGTTAGACGACGTTAGCGCTACCAATTCAGGGATGGTGTCCCAGAGTTCTGTGCAGACAGGGAAACGCTCTAGGAACCAGTTTGCTGTGTGTTGTTGATACCATCTCCCACACAGTTGCCAATGGCAGTTCCTGATCACGTCGCTCCTCATTGTTATTCCTGATGAGTTGGGTGGAAGACTTGGAGCAACGGAATGGTGATCTGGTTCTGCTCCTGCTCCTTATTGCGAGACAAACATTTATGCAGTGGAGTAGGTGATCAGTGAAATGCTCAATGGAATTTGAGCAGAACTTTGACATGTTGAAGGTGACTGACCCTGAGGGTCAATGACAATTCATTCAGCTCACATGATACAGATACGGTAAATGCCAGTATTGCCACCGTATGCCCTTGGGTGGACTGTCGCTTCTGGTGAAGAAGAACCAGCAAAGTGTGGTGGGATCACATCGTTTCGGAAAACAGAGATGGCCAGCAGTGGCTTCAGAACTTCCCAACGAGGAAACAGACCTTCATGGAGCCATCTGAGGAGCATGCACCAAACCTCCAATGCCAGAACACTTGATTCAGGGAAGCCATTCTGGTGTAGAAGAGGGTGGCTTTTACTCTATGGAAGCTGGCAACACCAGATAGCCATAGGTCCATTGCAAATCACTTTGGGGTTGGAAAGTCCACTGTCAGGGTTGTGGTTGTGCAGGTCTGTGAGGCAAGTAACACTGTGAGCTACCCATGGGTGGGTGCCATAAGAAAAGTTCCAGAAATAACAAGATTTCCAAGGATGGAGTTTCCAAACTGTGCAGGGGCCATCAATGACACCCATATCCCAATACTTTGCCCACCACAAGGGGTGAGTATGTGAAGCAAAAAGGTTACTATTAACTCATTCTGCAAAGCTTCGTGAACCTCAGAGACAGATGAATGAATACAAACTTGGGGAACACAGGAAGAAGGGCATGTATTTGGTAGACTCAAATCCTATGGGTGTAGCCTACGCAACCATCTGGATGTCAATGTGGCAAATGCCGTTGCGTGCCACCCACTGTATAGCTTTTGTGAGGGTGAAGGGGATTGCTTCCGTCCCGAGTGGGCACAGGACAAGTCTGGTTTACAAGCTCTGCACAGGCAGCTGGATCCCATGCATGAGCACACTGGCCCTGGTTCCCAGCAGTCAAAGGAAATCAGGGGATGCCATATTTGCACACATCTTGCACAGGGGAAGATGAAGAACTGGCACAGTGTGGTGGGATCACACGGGGAGGCAGAGGATGACATCTGTTTCTTTGAAAGGACACCCTCATACCCTATGCAGCTGTGGGACAAACACGTGAGGTAACACTGGTAACATACTTGTAGGGCTACATAACTTTGTGAGTTTTTTCCCCCTAGTGCCTGTCATTCGTTTCTCAAACACAGCCACCAGGGGCTTTTCTTGCAGCCACAGCCTCCTGGGTGGTGACAGGGGGAGAGCAGCAACCCCTCCTGCGGGGCCACCAGCAGTGGTTGGGCCCTGCCTTCCTCTGAAGCCACAAACGCCCAAGGAGCAGGCAGCCGGTGTGAGTTCCCCACATTCCCGAGGGCGGTGGGGCTCTGGCTTCTGGCTGGGGTGGTGAGCGGCAGGCTCCAGCCATGGGGCTTCGGGCTCCGGCCCCAGCCATGCTGCAGCGGGTGCCAGCCCTGGGCTCACCACCCCTGGCCCTTGCTGTCTCCCTACCCACCTCCCCATCCAGGGCTTAATTTGTCCCCTAGCTTGCAGGGGCTGAGTAAATTTGCTGTGAAAAGTTATATTTGTATGTTTGTTAATATCACTTTTCACTGCCTCCTAGCTAGCTAGAATGTCTGCTTCTGTGAAAAGTGATATTAACAAATGTACAAATATTACTTTTCACAGCAGCAGACTTACCAGCTAGCAAGTCTAAAAAAAGGCAACCTAAAAGCAAAGGAAACAAACAACAAAAGACAAGAACATGCAAAGCACCTTATTTGTGTTTCTATTCTGTGTAGGTCCAGTAAAGAACACAGACAACTGTACATTATTTTTATTATTGAGTTTGCCAAAAAACAAACAAACAAAAAAAACCCTTTATAAATAAATTACAATGATTTGGACATGGATATGTGCATATTTATTTGTTTTTCCTAAAGTTAAATAAGTATTTTAGGAAAAATTGTCAGAGCAGCCACCAGCAAGAGTTGGTGGCCACACTCTGAGGCCACCAAAATATTTGTTGTGAGAACCCCATTTTAGCCGCTCATTACTGTGACACTGCACACATTAATGATAATTATAACAGGGCACCTCCACCTCACCTTAGGGTTGGGTCTGTGCTGTGCTACGGCCAAGTTGTAATGCAGTCATTGTAAAATGTTTGTCTTCACTAGTCACACTTGTTTACAAATTTCTGTTATCCGGAGCACTCAATCTCTGTTAATGACCCTATCAATATTTGCAAGGCATGGGGGGAGGAGGAGTGGAGTATGCAGCCATTCTCTTTTAATTGTTTGCTGTTAGTGGTGCCAATGACGGCAACTGGTCAAGGTTTTGGGGGAGAAGGGAGGGGCCATTTATGGACAGGGTAGTGGCAGATGCTGTCATTGCTGTATTGTTACTGGAATTTTGATTTCTGCATGTGAACTAAGCCATATGTTTGTTGTTTATCTAGAGTTCTACTGTGTTGTAAACCACTAGTGCTTTCTGTAAGCACATAACACTCACTGCACTTTCCCCATCCCTCCTGAGTATCCTTGGGACTTGGGATATTTCTGAACCTGGGTAGGTCGTGTGGTTTGGGACAGACCGAAAAGTATTTGCAATATCATGGCAACAGAGAGTAATACGTCATTCAATTTCATGTGCTGTGAATTGTGGGGCCCAATCCCGAACCTGAAAACATCTTCTGTTGATTATATTTAAGAGAGAGGGGCCACATGCAAGCCAAGGAAACGATAACAGTTATTAAAAAGTACTATGTGGAACGTGTAATTAAAATATTTTAAAAAAGAAAGGTCAGCTAACAATCTTTAAAACATTAAAGGAATGACTTTGTGAGCACTGACTAAACGTTGCAATCTCTGCACCCTTCTCCTTGCTCTCCTCCCAACAAGGGGGAAATGATGGGAAAATCTCTCTTGGGGAAAACAGGAGAGGTCTCCTGCATGGGCTTTGCAGTGGGCACTTGGTGGGGCTCTAGGACTCCCATAGGCTCACCGTCCAGGAGAACAAGAGGTCTCCCTAAAAAGGGTTTTGAGTGAGGGTGAGGTCCCAGGAGTCCTGCAGGCGCTCTAACCAATCACTCAGGGGGGTCCTTAAAAGGGGATCCTCCAGCTGCAACCAGAGGAAGAGGTGGTGGCGATAGCTGGAGGTTCAGTGGCTCCAGCAGCAGGCAATCCCGAACTCATTTGGCCACCAGTTCAAAGAG